CCCCAAAACCCCAAAACCCCAAAACCCCAAAACCCCGAAAGTAACAGTAGAGGCAATTGAATAATTAAGAAATATTAATATTTATTAGTATTGATAAACAAATAATTATATTTAACATCAAACTATATGAGGGATTATGCTGCCCATATTTTAGCTAGTGCAGGCCTAGCTATATTAATATATCTACTATTCAGGCTCGCTTAAATAAAGTTTCTTTATTAGAAAACCTAAAAAAACTAATAAATTTTCTAGAAATTATCGAGTCATTCGAAAGGGTATTGGCCATCATTTTATTTAATACCTCATGGAGGCTTTTAAGCAATATGGAATGAGTTTATATCAAGGGACGGACTTATTCAAATAGACTATCAAAGGGACATCGTAAAAATGAAAGAAGGAGGAAGTATATCAATAGATTGGGTTTATCCATTAGATGATGTAGTTGGTTGTAAAAGAGAGACAAGAATCTGTATGATCTTCCCTGGTATGAGCGGTAATAGTGATCGTGGGTATATAAAATGTTTAGTACAGCATTTAAGTCAAGAAAAAGGTTACATTGTAGGAGTTTTCCACAATAGAGGAATTTAATCAGAGTATACATCACCTATGTTTCTAGATATAACCAGCTCATCCGAGATAGATGCTGCGTTGAAGCACATGCAATAGAAATTTCAAAATAAAGCTCATCCACGATATGTTGGGGTAGGACTCTCACTTGGTGCCAATCTAATGCTTAAGATAGCGGGTGAGTAGAAAGAAAAATTCCCTCTAGAAGCTATGGTATCATTAAGCAATCCATTTGATCTATGGAAAGTATTATGCTAGATGAAAGGTAATGTTTTCGAAAGAAATCTTGTCAAAGAATACTCAGAAGACACCATTCTGAAACAAAGCCCATCTGTTGCTGAGCAAGAAATAATTCTTTAGATGAAAGAAAAATACGAGTTGAATTTTGAAAAGATAAGGTAAGCTAGATCGTGGAAGGAATTAGATTAGGAATTTACAATGAAAGTTCACTATAAATATGATAGTCCTGAAGAATACTATCGAGCATCTTCTTGCAAAAATGTTATTTAAGATATACAAAAGCCTGTTTTAGTAATTCATGCAAAGGATGATCCTGTTACCCCACTTGAGTGTATTCCTTTAGAAGAGTGTAGATAAAATAAAAATATGATTGTATAGCTTTTGAATAAAGGAGGACATTTATGCTTTTTTTAGGGTTTATTTGGAAATAAAAGATGGTACCCTTAAGTTATTAGTGAATATTTAGATGCAGTTTTGGGACTTGACTAGATTAAAGAAGAGAGCTAGTATTGAACTTAAACATTAATAGATAGCTCATATTTTAGTATTGGAAATAAAATTAAAAAAATCTTATTATTAAAGTTTGTAATTACGTCATCATGTGGAAAATATGACTACATGGGGTTTTGGGGTTTTGGGG